AACACAAACAAACAAAAATTCGTAAAAATTACACAAAAAGGAGAGAAAAAATAAGTTAATAAAATTGAAATGCGTCTAGGTTGTGTTTGGCCCCGGAGCTCACATGCGGCTGTTGGAGCGCGGGTGCGCGTCGGCCTGCTCCCGCCAGCTCACGTTGTTCCGCACGTTGTGCATGCGGATGGCGCTGCCGTTGCCCGGCACCACGTCCATCTCGTCCTCGGACACGACGCCGCCCGCCTCGTAGCCGGCGGGCTCGTAGGCGCGGTTCACCTGGCCGCCGTGGACGCCGTCGAACAGGTCCTTGACGTTCATCGAGGCGACCGAGTTGCGGTGGTTGCGCGTGGCGACGACGCCGAGGCCGCCGCCGAGGACGGAGCCGCCGACGAGGGTGCCGCCCGAGGACAGCGCCGTGCCCGCCGTCACGCCGTACTCGTGCGCCGCCCCGAGCGTCTGCATGTGCGACTTCTTCCGCTCCGCCATGACCGAGTTGCGCCGCGTCTCCAGCGCCTTGATGGTCTCCTGGCGCATCGTCAGCTTGCGGCCCAGGACGGGCGTGCCCGGCGCGGCGCCGCCCTCCTTCATGTTGAAGAAGCGCTTCTTGAAGGCCACGTCCAGGGTGCCGATGGTGCGCTTCTTCTGGCGCTGCTTCTCCAGGTTGTGGATGGTGCGCCGGTGGCCGACGCGGTCCGCCGACGAGCCCGAGTCGTTGTCGTAGTCGCCGTCGATGCCGCGCAGCCGCTGCAGGTTGCGCACGATGTCCACCGCGTGCTTGTCGAGCAGCGCGTCCTGGGAGAGGTCCTCCACCTGGGCAGAAAGGGGCGCGGTTAGTGACGTTACTACACTTTAAGCGTACACCAATTTTTCTGAATATTTCTGTGAGTCTTTTATGAGTTTTTCTATCCCTGAAGTGAGGCTTACCTTCTTGTTCCAGAGCGTGAGCTCAGCCGAGGCCAGGATGTGCGAGAGCGTGCCGAAGCGATGGAACAACATGGCGGTGAACTGGATCACCAG